GAATGGCCCATGCTGTGCTGTGGCTTTTCCAGCCCAGTGAATACCCTTGGGGCCTGGCGTCCCTGGCTCCATTTAGAGAGCAGGCGGCATTAACAAGACTGGCCCCGTGCTCACAGTGCCCCGAGCACTTGGCACTTGGGCGCTGGCTGTCCCAGGGAATGTGACATTTCTCCCCTCCCCCCTGCCTGGCTGCACGCCCCATTGCTCCCGACCAGACACTGGGTAACGAGGGGGTCCGGGTGTGGGCGAGGAGGCTCCTGCCCCTGCGTGCGGACAGCTGCCCCTGGCTGGTGACGGAGGCCTTGTCTGAGCTAGCCAGGCAGCTCCTCTGGCTATCTCCTGCCCCCAGACCGCACTGGATGCCAGTCGGGAGCAGCCGGGCTCAGTGCAGTGGGGATGGCCACAGAGAATGTAAATAGCTCCCCGCTCGCAGCTCAGTGCGAGGCACTCGCACAGCACCCAGCGCTGCAGGAGAGCAGGGCCCTGGCTCCCCAGAGCTGGGAGCAGCAGGCTCCAGGTGCTCCAGCATAGCTCCCCTGTAAAGGCAGGGGGAGCATCACCAGTCAGGGACACCCGGCATCTCCCAGCCACACCCCGCTGCGCCCCCCCCCAGGCTCCTTACCATGAGTAGGGGGCCTGTTGCCCTCAGAGACCTCTGGGTCCAGGGGCGCAGCTGGGGGCGACAGGGCAGCCTGTGGCGGCTGAGCTGGCAGGCGTTCCAGGTTCTTGTCAGCGGGAAGGCCATCCTTCCTTGCATGCTCCTGGGCGCCGAGCTGAGGCTGTCAGGGAGGCAGGCGAGAGGGGGAATGTAACAGCAGCCAGCACCCGGAGTCCGGGTGGTCTTGGGGCTCCCCCACCCCTCTGGCAACACAGTGAAACATGGGCACCTCTTGGGGGGGACATGGTGGCTGTTTCACAGCACAGACACGTCCCGCAGCAGCGGGGCCAGGAGGAGAAGACCCTGTATCCAGCGGAGGGGAACAAACAAACATGTACGAGTCCCACGAGCCCTGCGTTTCCCCCTGCGAATCACATCCAAGCCCAAACACGGAACCAAATCTCCCAGCGCCCCCCGGCCGGCACTGCGTGCCCACCACGCCCACTCACCGTGCCCAGGGCTGGCTGGAGCTGCAGGATCACGGCGGAGGCATGCTGGAACTTGCGCTGTGGGGCGTGGGTCAGGTCCCCAGGGTGTCCATTCTGAGGCCCGCCCTCAGGCACTGGCTGGGCTGGCCCCATGGCTTGGAGCCCAGAGACCTGCAGAGACGGCTGGTTGGCACCGGGTTTGTGCTGACTGGAAGCCTGGCACTGCGGCGGGTGGGGCAGGGGGGCTGGGCCCTGGGGGGCGGCATGGCTCTGAAGCTGGCCCTGAGCTTGCGGGCTGGGCTGCACCGCCAGGCTGGGGGTGGGCGGGGGCGGCGGGGGGCGCGGG